TTTTTTTTTTTTTTTTTTTTTTTTTTTTTGGCCTGTTAGAGGAAAAAGCACACTATACTGTTTTTCTTGGGCCAAATTCAAGCAAATGATGAATAATTTTAATGCCTGAATCTTAATCCAGTGACAAAAGGTGTTAACAGTACTCCTTAAAAGCTAGATGATTTTACCTGAAAGGTCATTAAGAAACTTTTTTTTTGAGACAGGCTTTAGGCTGGTCTTGGACTCATGGGGATCCTACTGTCTCAGCATCCTGAGTGCTGAGATTACAGGCATGTACCACCATGGCATGTACTGCCTGGCTAAGAAACATTTCTACTTAGATTTCTTTCTTTCTTTCTTTCTTTCTTTCATTCATTCATTCATTCATTCACTTGTGAAATGTTAAACTGGAGAGAATGCTTAGAACTAAGGCAAATTCTAGCACTGGTGGATGGGGACAAAAGGTAATCTCAGATGCCTAAACATATCTCTGATCAGGGGGTGTGTCTAGTTGGTAAAATCTAGAGAAAGTATAGGTGATTTAGTTCAGCTTCTTACCCAGTTCACACTAAATGTATCAAAAAAAATGTCACTGGGGCTCAAATGATCAATTCCAAGAATGAGACTATTATGGCAGTCCGTTTCATTTCAATCTTGAACTTTGACTGAACCTAGGACCTCTTGTGCTAGGCAAGTGTTCTACCATTGAACTACATTTCAGCCTGAACAACTCTAATTAATAATAATTGTTCTGTGCTGTTAAGTGATTATTTGTGCTACTTATATATGTTTACTCCCCCATTCTTTCTTGCCTTTTATTCTTTTGTTATATAGACATATACATTTTTTTTTTTTTTTTTTTTGCGGAACTGGGGATTGAACTCAGGCCCTTGCACTTGCCAGGCAAGCACTTATTCTACTGCGCCATCTCCCCGGCTCCTGACATACACATTCTTAAGATGTTTCCTTCAGTGGGGGGCTGATGTGCTAAATATTGTCTTCACTGAAAAATATATTTCATCTTCAGTCTTTTTTTTTTTCCAGGCAGGGTCACTATGTAGTGCAGGCTGGCCTTGAACTTGCTTGTGTAGCCCAGGTTGACTTCATACTCATGGTGATCTTCTTCCCTCAGGCTCTAGAGTGCTGGAGTTACAGGTATGAACCACTCCTCACCCCCATCTTCAAATTTGTTTGATATCTGGAAACTGGGCTTCCAAATATTTTCTCTAGGAACTTTGAAAATGTAATTTCATTGAATATCTGACTTTTCCTGTTACTCTTCAGAATTATGCTCATAGATACA